CCTTTTCAGATATCGGTAAGCACGGTAAGCACCAGACGATTCAGCCGTGCAGGGACACCGAGCTCGATCCTGTCGTCGGACAGTGACATTCGATTTACGAGAAAACTCGGTGGACAATATCGCTGCGGATGCTGCGTGTTAGCCGCTTTTCTGCTTTTCCTTCTCTTCTCTGGAGTCTCCATATATCTCGGATGTAAGTACAGCAAGTTCAGGTTTAAATAGAAATTGAAACGATTAATTTAATCTCTACTCGATGTTTGCTCAACCAAGGAATTTTTAAACGCATTAGAAATTTCGTTCGTTTGCGCTTTCTCCGCGAACGAGTTTGAACGATCAACTCGATTCGAGCGAAACTGTAGATGAAATTACTCCACCGTCGGTTAACCGACAGCCGATGGTTTGCTAGATATGAAATATATTGTTTTTTTTTTTTCACAAAATGGATGAGCTCTTCACGGTGTCTGAACATTTCGTGAAGCGTAAAGTGTGATCGTCTCCCCTCGTTTGTAAGAATATGCTTTCCGCATTGTGATTGCGTATGCACTTCACCTTGAGATTGCATTCGTGCGTACGATGAACAGGTTAACGAAGGAACCTGTGGAAAAAAAGAATCTAATTAATGCAACAGGTAACGGTGAATGGAAGAGAAAGAATGTAAAATAAGTAGAACTTCTAAGAGATTTCTAAATTTTAAGGTTATATTTCAAAATATTTCAAAATTATAAAATGTAAATGATATGGAAAAATAGATGTCGAATAACTGTTTAGTTGATTATGATGTCAAAAGAGTATCTCGATCTGTACAATGATCTTATCGACTTTGGTAAGCTAAGAGGAAAAAAGAAGAAGCGGATGATGCGGCCAGAGCCCATTGAGGTCTTTCAGCGTGCAAACATAACGGTTCGACCGAGTTACCGAGAAAATACGTTTACGTACTCCGATTGGATGTTTTATCCGCAGACGATTGAAGCGCGAAAATTATATGGATTCTTAGACGAGAATCGATTTGCCGGGAAAGAAAGCGAATACAGCCGTGACGAAGCGCATATAACAGCGTATGGAGCGCGGAGTATACGCGACTAAAGAGAGGCAAAGGTCGAAGAAGATCCACGATCGTGTTGAGGGTCCAGCAAAGAGGCCTTGAAAGTAGCAGAGTTAACGGTCTGACCGAGTTATCGAGCCGTCCTACCTGTCACCCCTCCAACATTCGACCTCAAAGGGGGGGATCCGTGTCCTTGAATCATTTCGATGCTTCATCATACTAACCGAATTCCCATTTCGAAAGTATTTCGCGTTCAAGGATTATCGAATCAGTTGCTAACTTTTCGTTACGTCGAATTTAATTTTGTTCCATTGTACATATATGGTATTCATATGTGTATTCTGTCATACGTATGAAACAATATGAAGATTCACAAATGAAAAGAAATATTTGGACAGCGATGAGAACGAACCTTTATTTCGAAGCTTTGTTCTAACGTTTAATCTTCTTTCTTTTGCTCAGAATATATAATATGTACGCTTAGACAAAGATCGAAAGTGAAAGAATTTTTTTAAATTTTTTTCTTGAGCTGCGCGGACCATGGAGAATGTCCTTTTTATTACACTATACATCCAATTGACTGCTCGGTAGTAAAAACGCACGAGCCAATGAGGATTGTACTTTAACCTCTTTGGTTTATGCTTGTCAATTTTACATTTCATTCGTTCTATATTTCTTGTTGCGTATAGGGGAAAAATTCTATACTCGAAAGTTACTTGTAAGTGTAATGAAAATATCTGTTTGTGTTATTTGTTGTGTTTGCCCGATCCATGATCCGCAGAAGATCGTTCACTGTCCGCAAGAAATTGTATCGCGAACTGAAAAAATAATCTTTGCGGCGTAAAAATAATCGACCAGAGGAACGGTGAAAGGTGAGCCTCGAGCCGTCTCGCTGTACGTGCCCGGTTGCCCTCGATTCCTTAGTTTGTATTTTCATATATTGATTCGTTGAATGTTAACTACGTTGAAAAATTGATAATAGTTTTGATATAAAACAATGAGCACTACTGTATCTAGCATCTTTAAACAAAGATTTTGTCTTAAGATGGATATTTAGAAAGTATCATTGAACATAAACAGTATCTCCCTGATAGTCACTAAAATGGAAATCGGTCGATTAACCTAAAGTGAAACCTGTTCATTCGTTCTATACCGTGTGGCATGAGTTACTTGCCAATTACGATAAAAAGAATCGATCTGATTCTTATTGACATTATAAATAATAGTTTTTATAACATCAGATAAATGTATCGATTCTTTTTATTTATTTTCAACAATATATCGAATATATATCGAACAGATATCGTAATATTGTATCGAATGGATAATCGTTGTTAAAATAATTGCTTAGAATCATTATCATTTTTAATTGTTTGATTTTTAATGATTTTATTTTCTAGACACGTTTCTAACGTCGGATCCTCCAGGTGATCAAATTTTCTTGGCGACATTCCGAGTGATCGAAGGCGATTCCTTCGTATCAGAATTAACAGATCCCTCTTCTGAAGCCTTTCGAATACGATCGCGAGAGTATCGTGATCGATTGAATCTAATATTTCGTCGTAGCTGGGTGAGAATTTCATTTCTCGCCGTGGAAATATTAGCACTTGATGGGTAAGTATTTTTAATAAAACCAGCAATTTAATATATCAAGGAAAAAAATAAAAAATTTGAAGCTTGTTCAAATCTATATAGATATATAACTTTATTTCGGAATCATAACTGTTTTACTACGTTTAAAAAGAATTGTATATAATGTGTAATTTGAAGAATCGATTCTGAAATTAATAATAATTTTTACTACGAATAGTGTGTATACATATAAAATTCATAATAATCGATTCACGAATAAATGATATTCTTTTGATTTCGAAAAATTGAAATTATTTTTTTAATTGTTAACTGTTTATCGTACATATGCAGATCCGAAGGTGGAAATTTGGTGGTCCATTTCGAGATTCGGTTTGATCCACGGTATCAGACTATTACCACCGCCGATATCGTCGAAATTCTTACACAAGAAATAAATCCTACAACCTCAAAATATTTAACAAACTTAACGATCGAGTTACCAAGTCTTGAAGTTCAAGAGAGTTTGAAAGCTCTCAACGCTCAAGTCGGTCTACAGACGACCATTGCGACACCTCCTCCAACAACTACACCGCCACCTCCTAGAAGATGTACCAGTTTAAATTTGTCTTACTGCAAGCATCTACCATACAACGTTACATCTTATCCAAATATATTGGGTCATCGTTCGTTGGCTGATGTGCAAGAGGATGTGATCGCTTTCAGGTGAATATGTATTCGCGATCTCGAAACAAATTTTATCAAGTGCATGATCATTATGAATTCATACGATCTCGCTTCTACATTATTACAGAAACTTTTTCGTTATAGAGAATTAGTCGATGCGGAATGTTATCGTTTGGCATACGACTTTGTATGCCAGATTTTACAACCGACATGTATATCCAGTCAACCGGAAGATTTACTGCAGTTACCTTGCAGAAGCTTCTGTAGAGAATTCTGGAACGGATGTGGCAATCGACTTCCGGATAAATTCAAACCGTTACTGGATTGTTCGAATTTCCCGGAGTATGTGGATCAAGGTGGTTGTAGAGCAAAACCAGGTAAAGGAACGTAATCTTTTATTTTTCAAACAATGAAAAATAATAAAAATAATAATAGAATGAATTTCTGTAATTATTGAACGTTATTATATATATATATGTATACAGGATGTGTGCAAGCGCTTCAAGCAAAAGCATTGTCACCAAGAATTTGCGATGGCGTGATCGATTGTCCTGATCTTTCGGATGAGAAAAATTGTGCTTATTGTCGAGACGGTTATATGCACTGTGGTGTAGGTAGAACTTGTATTCCACGTGGCAAAAGATGCGATGGAAAAATGGATTGTGCCAATGGTAGTGATGAAAAAGATTGTCGTATGTATCTTTCAGATTTATCTTTCATTCTAGTTATTTTTTCTTATCGTAATAGAATTTTCATTGCTTTTCATATTCTCTTCAGTTTCCTTAGCACCAAGTATTCGATCTCTTAAATCGCAACTTTCGGACACACCGTTCACGGCAAAATATAACAACGAAGGATTTGTGGTATTTAACGAGAAAGGTACTATTGGTAAACTTTGCACCGCGAACCTGAATGCAACGTTACCAGGAACAGAAATGGAAAACGTTCTTCAAACTGTCGCCAGCTCTTTATGCAGTATATTGACATATACGTAAGTATATCATGTTTTGATTTTTGCAACAAAGCGTGTGAATATTTATTTTAAAAACAGTCATCTTTCTTTATAGAGGAGTGAAGTCCGTAGAAGTTCGAATCGACGATGAAGAGAATATTCAATATGTACATATGCAGGATCCATTAGCAACAGAGATCACATTCGTTAGAGCGCCCTGTCCGAGCAAAGAAGTTATGTACATCCAATGTTCTGAACTTGGTACGAGACATGCCTTAAAAGTTTTCCGTTTTTTCTACTTTATATGAATCTTCAAAGTATAACTTATGTTTAGACTGTGGTGTACAATCTCTACATACAAAAAGTGATAACCGAGGTCTTAATAAAATGGCCGAGCCAGGAGATTGGCCCTGGCACGTAGCTCTCTTCAAAGAAGAGATACATGTATGTGACGCCACACTCGTGGCGGAGAATTGGTTGATTACGACGGCATCTTGTTTTCAAGGGTATATTTTATTATTTTTTTTATTTTTAATATAAGAATAACGTGTATGCAGCATTTCTTTGTATGACACAATCACAGACAGCCAAAAGCAGAATGGTCAGCGAGAATGGGAAGTGTACGACTCTCGAGTATATCGCCATGGCAACAAGAGCGTAGAATCATAGGTATGATTAAATCGCCGGTAGAAGGAAGCACAACTGTTTTATTAAAACTTGATCGACCTGTGACCACATTTTCGGATTTTGTAAGACCGGTATGTTTGCCTTCGAATCAAGATCCACCAATGAACTCAACTCACTGTAATACTCTCGGATGGGCTAGAAATCGTGAGTATTAAGTTATAATTATACATGATCCTTAGGTTCGTTTAGGTGTATCTTGGAATTTTATGATTATGTTATATCATTGCTTCGATACACGTTACATAAAGATATATGTAACTATACGCGTACATTTTTTCATTTGTCACATCAAGAAAAGAATGCTAAAGCGAAACGAGTTATACAATATCCACGTTGCGGTTATTGTGACCTCATAAAATGATCATACCGATATCAATATAATAAAGCAATTTATTATTATTTATAATCATTAATATTAATAGATACTTTACAATATTATTGATTTATAATATTATTAAAAAGAAACTGTTACGATTAATGAAAGATATAAGAATTCATTTAATCATGATTCATTGTATCTTAAAAGAATAATTTTCTTTAACTAGGAGACTTGCTGCAAAGGGTACAGCTTAGACACAGTGCGATGGAACGATGCGAAAATATTAGTATCGCATCGGTAAATAGCATTTGCACAGAACCAGCATATTTTACTGACGATTGCAATGTAAGTGACTTATAATTATTGTACAAAAAGTCATAAAGAAAGATCTAAGATCATAAAGTTATTATTTAAAATATTTACAGGAAGAAGAATTTGCTGGAAGTCCTATGTTATGTCTTCAACCAGACAATAATAAATGGGCACTAACAGGTGTCGGTAGTTGGCGAATAGCGTGTTCAAAGACCGGTACTGAAAGGCCGCGATTGTACGATAAAATTTCCTCGAATATCGCTTGGATAAAATCCACGATTTTTATCTAAAATAGATTTTTATCTAAAATATTATTTAAATAAATCAATATGGACTGACAGGGACTGAAATTGCAATACATATACAATATAGAATCATTTTTCGCTTCATCCAATTTTTCTATTATATCTAATAGACTGTAAAATATATTGTAAATTTATAATTGCGTAAAATCGTGTCATCTTATCGTGGCATACATTTTTCATATCGATTTGTTTGAATCGATTGTATAGTTTTATCAAAGATTCGTTGTTACATCATTGTTCGTATGATATCTATGTATATGTTATTGCGTTGTAAAGAAAAAAAAAATTGTTTTATTAAAGTATAAGTAGTCGAAAAAAATAATATGCAAAATTCTTTTTTAAAGATAAATTTGCTGTCGCATTATGTGATATGTACATTTTTATCAATCATTCGTTTTCTTTATTATTATATAAATGTTTTATAAGATTTATCATGGAATAGTGAAGATAGATGATTGGAATAGTGAAGCATTATTGGTAACGTTGACATTCTATATTTAATGATCGTTGCTGTGCGAAGGAAGTTGTGCGCAGAGTCAAGGTATAAATGGTGGGAGGTTTCAACCAGGATTACTTAATATAATGCTCTTCATGTGCGGAGCAGAGTCTAGTTCTGCAAATGCGTTGTCAGTTTTTGCGACGGTGTATAGATCTAATCGAATCTAATTTACTCAGTGTGACCAAAAATATGGTAAGAAAATCTCTATAAATAAACTAGTTTTATTATAAATATTAATAAAACTTTTTGGTTTATTTGTAATTGTAGAAAATATTACGTAATATTAAAACCGTAAGGTTTTAAGAGATATCGCGTTTCAAATAAATACAAATATAATGATATGCAACTTAATACTTTCATTTTTATCACAAATATACACTGAAACATATATTAAATAATTATAAATTAAGCGTGATATATGCAGATTAAGATAATTACTTAATATATTTATTATCAGAGATTTTATATATGATTGACAACGATTATAATATTGAATTGGAGACATATTATATATTTCATTTTTTTCAATTTAAAGCATCAATCATCAATATTTTATTCAAAAAATTGATTTTTTTTTATCGAAATATTTTCCTAAGGAGTCAAAAAATCAAAGAAATATTTCGGACTTAGCAAAAATCGAGGAGGTTGTTGATCACCCGGTTGAGTTGTTCAGAATTTGGCATGATGAAGCACGAAAATACAATCCAAGAGCGCCAGATGTCTGTTGCTTGGCTACAACTTCAAAGTTGGTATTGATTATCGATTGTTGTTTTGAATGTACATTTTTTAACGAAAGAAATTTGTTTTAGAGATTGTAAAGTGTCTGCAAGAAACGTTGTTCTTCGAGAATTTGATAATGATGGTTTTGTAATTGTAACTGATAATCGCAGTAAAAAGATTGATAATTTAGTAAGTTTGTACAAAATTTTAACATTATTTCGACTTTTTTATTTATTAATCAATTTCTATAATTTTAGGAAAATATCCCATATGCTGCAATGTGTTATCTTTGGTTTTATGTAAATGAGCAGGACCAGGAGATCAGCAAACAGGTGCATAATAAAATCAAATAATCGTATGTTTAATAAACACATAATATCATAACGTTTATAGATAAGAATAGAAGGTATTATGAAAAGATTAGACAAGGAAAATTTCAAGCATTTATATGATAGAGAGCCATTGTTTTGCAAAATCCGGTCTCATATATGCAAACAAGGACATAATATCGATTGGGATGAACTAAAAAAGCGACATGATGAAATATTTGATTCAGTTCATAAAGGAGAAAATGATTTACCGATGCCGGATCATTTGTAAGTTTATCTACAAACATTTAATCTGATAATGAATATTCCATATTTAAATGTTGTTTCAGCGTTGGATATAAACTTTTTCCGACAATGATGGAATTTTATTTTGCAAGAGATTATCTTATAGGTGATCGTATAATATATCATAAAGATACGTTGAACAATTCTTGGAAGAAACATCGTATAGCGGCATAATATCATACATTAAATCGATGATCATTGCGATTTATTATTCCATAATAAATTTCCATAATAATATTTGAAAATTTTAGAAAAAATTTATTTTTAAAATCTAATTATTCTACATCCTACCCCATTTTTATTGATTTCCATTATTATATAACATATGAAAAAATCCATGATAATTGAATCGTTTATATAAATTAGATACAATAATTTTCCCTATTTATATTTTTATTATGAATAAAAGTATAAAGAAGAAAACGAAAAAGATTTTCTACACGAGCATTTTAAATTTAAATTCAATTGGTGCCATAAAATGGCGCTTAAATAAATTCCAGTGTATCGAACCGGTATTAGTCACGTGACATGCGCAAAGGATTGTACGCATAAGAACGAATAAGAGAAGTCCTATCGGCTGGAGCCGCGTTTTATAGCGTTGCGCGCAGGTCTGAAAGCAATTCCGTAAGAGCCTATGTTTGATCCTCGATGTATAAAGTGTACCTTTGACCTATACTATGAACAGTGTTCACCGGTCATCGGATCGAGAACACGCCGAAAGTACTCCGTGATTCGTTAAGAAAATGCATAAGCATGCGGCCGATCTTAATCGTACACACAAAATCGCTTATCTTCTCCTCGAAGATGGTTCGGTCTTCCCGGGAAGACATTTCGGCGCGGAGAGACCGGTCGATGGTGAAATAGGTGAGTGTACGAGCAACACGTGCTCGTCCATTTCGTCTACGCACGTGCATGGCTGTTTCCACGATATAGTTTTATCTGTCGTTATTCTTTTGTTATGTATATATACATTTGATTTTAATTCAATAAGCATGATCGTTGTTCCCTATAATTGAGCTATTCTTAAACGGATGTTTGAATAAAAAACAAGAATGATATTTATACGTGATTTTTGCAGACAGTGAATATTAATTAAATAACCACGTGGATATATTAAAATCATTTTATTACAACTGTGTTTTCATATGTTATATTTATTAAACAATCATCGCATTGCTGCACTTCATACAAGAAATTTCTTTATGTATCAGACATGTTTTGTTTATTTTTTCTGTGATACTTATCTTTATATTGACAGTAAAATTCAAATTTAAACACATGGTATATTTGAAGATTTATATTTCGTAATATATGATTTATTTTAAATGTACACAGCAATTTAATAAAGTAGTTTATTGAGATTATCATTTTGTCAAGATGAATAAAAAATTATTGCAGAGGTTGGAAAAATGAAACTACAAAAAAATTAATAATCTAATGATATTTTAAATCTTGAATAATATTAAAAAACATAAAGTGTTTGAAATTTTGATCTAATTAAAAAATGATGCAACATAAGGATTTCGTTAAGGTGCAGGTAATTTGAAATAACGATATTTCAAATTATAAATCAATCATTTTGTTTATAAATTGATTAATCGATATCCTGCATCATTTATTATTTTTCATCTTCGAATTGCAATTTCGTATTGAAACCTCGTGTTACATTTTATATTTGTAAAATTTACATGAAATCATAAAATTTAAGTGCAAATCAAATAATCTATCTTAAAATTTTAATTATATTTTCTTGCTGAGAAATTTTTGGAAATTGTTTTATTTTTTTTATAGATTAAATCGGAAATATTAAAATTACAGTTTTTATATAAATGTTATTGGTTAATAGGTCATTCGTTTTTACTATTTACGATATTACAAATTAGATAACATTAATCATTTCAGATACTTTGGTAAATTATCAATATTCCAAATGTGCCGCATTTTCTTTAATAATTCATACGTTTCAATTGTTTTCTCAATACTTTTTTGATATAAATATTTACATTTCGAACGTTACTGTTAGAGTTTAAATTATTCTATATGTGTACATATACACACTATTCGCATTGATACATTTTTTACAGTTTTCCAGACCGGTATGGTGGGTTATCTAGAGTCGCTTACAGATCCTTCCTACCATGCTCAAATTCTAGTGCTCACGTATCCATTGGTCGGAAATTATGGAGTATTTGCCCACGAAACGGATGAACATAAAATACCATAGTAAGATGTTGAAACATGATATAACGTTGAAAAGGAACAATTTTTCGTACTTTTTTTTTTTTTTATTTTTATTACTCCATTTTCCAGATAGATAATATTGAAAAATTTTTTCAAAGTCATATGACGATGACTTTTTACTCTTGCAGTTGGTTCGAATCTGATCAAATTTGGGCCGCTGCTTTGGTGGTCGGTGAAATTTGCGAAACCCCGAGCCATTGGCGTCAAATCAAAACTCTGTCCGAATGGATGAAGGAACAAAATATCCCCGGCATATACGAAATTGACACCAGAGCTTTGACAAAAATTATTCGCGAGAAAGGCACTTTGTTAGGTAGAATCGTGCTCGATCTGCCAACTTTTAATCCCATTCCCTCTTTAACTGCCGCGATAGAGGATCCGAACAAAAGAAATCTCGTTGCAGAAGTTGTCCAGGTATATGGTCCAAAGAATTATATTTACGATTTAGCTATTCCAACCTTTCATCCCATTGAGATTTATTATTTTGATCATTGAATTTTAGTCTGCGCAAAGAACGTACAATGCCGCCGGTTATCCTCGCATATGCGTGGTTGACTGCGGTTTAAAGTACAATCAATTGAGGTGCTTGATTAGTCGAGGTGCTCGATTAGACGTTGTGCCTTGGGATAACAATTTAAAGAATATCGATTACGACGGCTTGTTCTGAGCAATGGACCAGGCGATCCGACTAAATGCGAGACAACGATCGAAAATATTCGATCCATTCTCGAATCACGCGCGAGGAAACCGATATTCGGTATTTGCCTCGGACATCAATTACTTTGTATCGCAGCTGGTTGCGTCACATACAAGATGAAGTATGTATTTCCACGTGTTTATCTTTTAATCGCACGTTCAACGTTTCTCTTTGAAAGCATATACGTTTTATACACAGTTACGGAAATCGCGGTCATAATCAACCGGTCACACATCATGGAACCACTCGTTGCTACATGACCATGCAGAATCACGGATTCGCCGTAGATGCCAGTCAATTACCAACCGATTGGGAACCACTTTTTACCAACACCAATGACAACACTAACGAAGGCGTCATACATTCGACGCTCCCTTATTTTTCCGTTCAATTTCATCCCGAGCACTCGGCCGGCCCTCAAGATTTGGAATGCTTGTTCGATGTTTTTCTCGACGTCGTGGTCGACAATGCAAAAGGGGGGCAACTTTCCGTGAAGGAAAGATTAAACCGTGAGTTGAGCTTTTGCGGAGAGAATAGCAAGTTGTCGGCCAGGCCGAAGAAGGTGTTGATTCTGGGATCGGGCGGGCTCAGCATCGGGCAAGCGGGCGAATTCGATTACTCTGGATCACAAGCGATCAAAGCATTGCGCGAGGAATGCGTGCAAACGTTGTTGATCAATCCCAATATCGCAACAGTGCAAACGTCGAAAGGCATGGCAGATAAAGTTTATTTCCTGCCTATTATACCGGAATACGTGGAACAAGTAATCGATGATCGGTTTTTTAAAATTTTTAAGAAAGAAAAATTCTTTCTTTCTTTTCCGATAAATTCATTTTTATTTCAGGTGATACAATCGGAACGACCAGACGGCGTGCTTTTAACGTTCGGTGGGCAGACCGCCCTCAATTGTGGCGTCGAGCTTGAGAAGAATGGGATATTCAAGAAATACAATGTGACAATTCTAGGGACACCGATACAATCAATTATAGAAACGGAGGATAGGAAGATTTTTGCAGAACGTATAGCAGAGATCGGCGAAAAGGTGGCGCCAAGCGCAGCGGTGTACTCCATCCAGGAGGTAGAGAATCGAAGTTTTTCACGAGTTTAAATTTTGCCACGAGTTAAAAACGAGTGTATTTTGTCCTGTCTCAGGCGTTAGATGCGGCCGAAAATTTAGGATATCCCGTAATGGCCAGGGCGGCATTTTCCCTCGGAGGTTTGGGATCCGGTTTCGCAAATTCCATGAAAGAGTTGCGAAATCTTGCACAACAAGCGTTCGCTCATTCGAATCAATTGATCATCGACAAGTCGTTAAAAGGTTGGAAAGAGGTGGAGTACGAGGTCGTACGGGATGCGTACGACAATTGCATCACAGTTTGCAATATGGAAAACGTCGATCCCCTTGGGATTCATACAGGGGAATCGATCGTTGTCGCTCCAAGTCAAACTTTGTCCAATAAAGAATACAATATGCTTCGAACGACAGCTATTAACGTGATCAGACACTTTGGCATTGTCGGTGAATGCAATATTCAATACGCGCTGAATCCAAATACCGAGGAATATTACATAATCGAAGTAAACGCAAGATTATCTCGCAGCTCGGCTTTAGCAAGCAAGGCAACAGGATATCCATTGGCTTACGTGGCCGCGAAGCTAGCTCTCGGTGTTCGTTTACCGGATATTCACAATTCCGTCACAGGAAAGACGACGGCTTGCTTCGAGCCCAGCCTCGATTATTGCGTCGTCAAGATCCCGAGATGGGATCTCGGCAAATTTCACCGGGTGTGCACAAAGGTAAGCTTATAATAATGCTGCATTATTTTTATCAACAATGAGATTCTCGTTGATTCCTTTTAGATCGGCAGCTCCATGAAAAGCGTGGGAGAAGTTATGGCGATCGGGCGTAAATTCGAGGAAGCTTTTCAAAAAGCTTTGAGGATGGTCGACGAGAACATCAACGGTTTCGATCCGTACGTGAAAACACCGAACGACGAGGAATTGGAAAAACCGACGGACAAAAGAATGTTTGTACTCGCAGCCTCTATAAAGGCTGGATATACGATCGATCGATTGTACGAGCTCACGAAGATAGATAAATGGTTTCTGCACAAGATGAAAAACATTATCGATTATTACCTGGTCTTGGAGAATACGGATCACACGAAATTGTCGCACAACGTTTTGCTACGTGCGAAACAAATTGGATTCTCGGATAAGCAAATTGCGGCCGTGGTTAAAAGTTCGGAATTGGCCGTCAGGATACAAAGACAGGAGAGTAATATACGGCCGATGGTGAAACAGATAGATACGGTGGCCGCTGAGTGGCCGGCCACCACGAATTACCTTTATTTAACTTACAATGGCACTACACACGATGTCGAATTTCCCGGTGGATACACGATGGTGATAGGTGATAGGAATAAAACCAATAATTTCATTTGATTAATGGAATCGGGGGGGATATACATCTTCTTTCTTTCTAGGATCCGGAGTGTATCGAATCGGTAGCTCGGTAGAATTCGATTGGTGCGCCGTCAGTTGCCTGCGCGAATTGCGAAATTTGGGAAGGAAAACGATCATGGTGAATTACAATCCGGAAACAGTGAGCACCGATTACGATATGAGCGATCGACTGTACTTCGAGGAGATATCGTTCGAAGTTGTGATGGATATTTACGACCACGAATGCCCGGAGGGGATAATTCTATCCATGGGCGGCCAACTGCCGAACAACATCGCTATGGATCTTCATAGACAGCAAGCGAGAATTCTCGGCACTTCGCCCGAATCTGTGGACGGAGCTGAGAATCGTTTCAAATTTTCTCGTATGCTCGATGGCATTGGAATTTCCCAACCCAGGTAAACGGGCATAATTAACGTAATAACGAATTATTATTGTCATTCTAACCTAATAATATTACAGGTGGAAAGAATTGACCAACTTGAAATCCGCCATCGAATTTTGCGAGGAAGTTGGCTATCCCTGTTTGGTACGTCCCTCTTACGTGTTGAGCGGCGCTGCGATGAACGTGGCCCACTCGAATAACGATCTCGAGTCGTACTTGAAGAGCGCGAGCGAAGTGAACAAGGAGCATCCAGTAGTCATATCGAAATTCATTCTCGAAGCGAAAGAGATAGACGTGGACGCGGTCGCCTTTGACGGAATTATCCTTTGCATGGCGGTGTCGGAGCACGTGGAGAATGCGGGCGTCCATTCGGGTGACGCCACTCTAGTGACGCCGCCGCAGGATATCAACGCGGAAACCTTGACGAAGATCAAAATGATGTCGAAGGCGATCGCAGCGTCCCTCGGCGTCACGGGTCCCTTCAACATGCAATTGATCGCGAAGGTAAAGCAATGGTTGAAGAGATAAGAAATGGTTATGAAGATGACGCGTTTTATCCTTGCAGGATAATGAACTTAAAGTGATCGAGTGTAACGTTCGAGTGTCGAGATCTTTCCCTTTCGTATCGAAGACGTTGGATCATGATTTCGTGGCTATGGCCACGCGATTGATCGTTGGAGAGGCAGTGGAACCGGTGGACGTACTCGCTGGGTGTGGCAAAGTCGGGGTCAAAGTTCCACAATTTTCTTTTTCTCGTCTTGCAGGTGTGTGCTGATAAGAAAATATATATATATATATATATATATATATCGTGCGTGAAGACACAACTTTATAAATAATAACATATTTGCACAGGGGCTGACGTGATGTTGGGAGTAGAGATGGTATCCACGGGTGAAGTAGCTTGTTTCGGGGATAATCGATACGAAGCTTATTTGAAAGGAATAATGAGCACCGGTTTTCACATACCTCAGAGAGGCATCTTGCTCTCGATAGGAAGTTTTAAAGTAAGATTTTTAATTAATAAAAAAATTAAAAATTGTTATGTTCGTTATTATTTTTGTTTTGTAATTACAGCACAAGATGGAATTGTTACCGTCTATTCGCAGTCTTCATAAGATGGGTTATAAATTATACGCTAGTATGGGTACCGCAGATTTTTATACAGAACACGGAGTGAAGGTAAGTGAGAAGGACATGTTACGAAATATTTTTTATTACGAATTTTTAAAACATACGAATATTTAAATATTTACATTAACTAGTCGAAAGTTTAATTTACATAATTAGATTTAAATAATTTAAATTTCGTCTCACTATATTCTATTCTATTATTCTATTATTACGTATATTAATTTTTCTAAATGTAGGAATCACGTTTTCTATTTTTTTTTTTTAAATATAAATAGTTTTTTTAAATTAAATAACAATAAATTACGGATTATTTGCTAAAGCTTGAGAAATTTATTAGAGGAATTGGTCGCGTCGTGCTTTGTCGCGCGCACTTTTAAATATTCGTAGATTCTTTTAATTTGATAGAAGTTAAAAATGGCAGCGATTGAGGCTTATTTTCTTTCGATTTTAAAATTTGATTCTCGTTTTGACTAATCGTTACGCTTTTACTCCCACTTTTCAAGTTCAAACTATCCGGCTCTTCGTATTGTCTCTCATGAACAATTGCTTTTATAACAATACGATTATTCTCTTCATCAGATCGCTTCTCTGACAATTTTTGTTTCGTTTCCGTTGAATGAACAGTTTGTTTCGATGTAAAGCGATCGTTCAACGATTCAACGTATATGGCCTTCTCCGAATTTTTTAGGGAAATATTCGACGGATTACTTGACGGATCGTTTTGCGGTTTTGAGCTCGCCGTCCTGAGACTTTTTATTTTCTCACGATAACTTTTAGCATCGTTCCTGTAATTCTCATCCTCGAAAAGGAGAATGGACAATCTATCGGCTTGATTGAGATACGTAGTTTTCTGTCGATACGCTTTGTATTGATTACAACACTTAGCAATTTCTATGAAATGCTCTATGAAGAATTTCAAAAGTATACATAGCCTTGGACCTTCCAACTCACCGCATCGAGTCTAGGAAAAAAAAAAAAAAAAAGAAGAGATGAATAAATCGTTAACTTTTTCTAATCAATAAAATGTCATCCCACGTGATATATATCGTTTGAGGATTACAGATAAATACTACAATTATTTAGATAAGATTAGAACGCAAATAAATTAATTTAATTGTATTGTTCCTTATCGTGGTTAGAAATAGTTCGTCATTTGTCAAAGGCATACGATACAAATTGTTTTACAAAAAAGAGTATCAACAATGTAACAATATAATAATAACTCGAAGAAATACGAATTCGAGCGTACATACATCGCTTTTCGTAACATTCAGATTAATTCAGAGATTCTTACCGAGATTTCGATGATAGAATCCGTAGCTTTGCGCGTGTTGATCAACGTTTTATTGGTGATGGATTGGACGGGATTTGGCTTGGCCCGTTGCTCCTTCACCGTGTCCCAAAATCCTCTCTCGTCGTACTTGTCCTCCTGAACGACCACGTTCTTTTGCTGCGGTTGATTCCCGATGTATCGGTTCAACGTCGGATTGACGAGGATCAACGTTTCGCCCGTCAATATTCTCAGCAACATCTCGAAATCCAATCTCGGGAAAAAATTATTCCTGTACTGGATGTTCTCCATCGCGTGAAAAACGTACATGATCGGGTTCTCGGTGATCCGCTTCAGCTGCTTCTGCGTGTGGAGAAGGTGTTCGCAGGGTATCCGCCGAAAGAGATTCCTACCCTTGATGAAGTAATCGTTCAACACGGGCTCGTTCTGGCTGATGTTGTAATACAACGAGTTGAGCAGCTTCAACAAACACCCCCCCGTCCCGTAGTCGGGCCATTTCGACGGCTTGTCGTTCTCCTCGATCATCCAGAACAACTTGTGCCTTATATGAGCCGTCGTCATCCCGAACATGGTGTCGAATACCGGCCTCATGAACGTCTTGTGCAGCATTAAAGCGATCAGATACACCTGCACCTGGGCCTGGGTCATGCATGTCTCGAGATACCTTTCGGCGGTCGGGAACGTGAGCTGCCATTCGAGATCCTCGATGAGATTGCCGTTTCCACTTTTCGCCACGTAGCCTTCCGGCACGACGTAACACCCGAAATCTTTCACCTTGTCGATGTCGTTGTCCCTGGGCCAGCCGTCCCTGGACCTGTTCAACCACTCCTTGGCGCAGATCGGCCACTCGAGCCAGATTGCGGGTATTATCTCGTACTGTTCTATCTGGCTGTCCTTGAACGCGTCCGATATCATGATTTTGTCACAGTAGAGCACGCATCCCTCCCGTTTCACGTCCTCCACCGTCTCCCGGTCGAAGTACAACGAGTCCCCGTACCGGTAGACGAACAATTTGATGAAGTGTTTCATGAACTCGGTGCTGCTCACGTAGTACAGGTCGTAGTTGTGACGGTTCAGGGCCAACCTGATCCTTCGCTGCTTGCTGTTCAACAGCTGCATCTTCTCCTCGGCCGGGTTGTAGATCTTCCCCTCGCTCGTGTACGTGACCTTTTTGAAGCAACGCTTGGGAAATTCCCCCTTCGTTATCCAAGACTCGTCCATCTCGTCGAAGGTGGACGAGGCTTGGGACACTCGAGAGCTGTGGCTCTCGTTGTACGTCGCGTAATTGTCGGAACGGTAGCCGGAACTGTTGCTGCTCGGGTGATCCTGGTTCCCCAACGTACCTTCGAACTTGGACTGTTGCGCCTCCTTCTGCCACCCTCGATTCTCTCGCTCCCCTCCTCCTCTCTCCTTCGACCGAGTCCTTCGCTCCTCGGATCCACCGTTGTCGTAATTGCCGGGGCGGGACAAGTCCTCGATCAAGTTGGGCATCGATCTCGCGTGCTTGAGCCTGCTTCTCAACACCTCCTGCTTGGATTTGTACGCGATCGCCGAATTCACGGATATATTCGAGCTTGGCTTCGGCCCGTAAATACTGCCATCGCTGTACGACTCGTCGTCGTCCTCGAGTATGGACGACAGATCCATACTGTCGTCCTCCTTGGTCGTTTTCCTTTTCAGGAAGAAATCGTCCAATACTTGAAGCTGCACGTAACCTGGAAAAAGAAGGGGGGGGGGGAAAGGAGAATGGTTGGATTTTGAATTTTCAAATTTTATATATATATATACCTTCGTGTTTCGTGGGTTTCAACAGTATGTTGTACATGATGGAATCGTTCACGTTGCTGTAATGCTGCGACGAGTAATTCTTCTCCGTGATGTCGACGTTGTCGTGGATCATGTATATGCGGACAGGTTGAAGGGGTTCGATCGTCGGACGAAAATTTTGCCGTCTCGAGATGAAGCCGATGTGGCGGGCGATGTGCTCCTGAAGAATGTCCGGAATCAGGACCCGTTTCTGCGGGGGCAATTGCTGGTTCATTTTCTTCTCGAGGGAGGACTCCTCGAGGAGCGTCCTCTTCAGATGCTTGATTTCCCTTTTGGAAAAAAAAAAAAAAAAGAAAAGAAAAGAAAAAGGAAAACGGGCGATTATCGAATGAATTAATTTTTGATCGATCGATCGATTTCCCTTGATAAATATCGGATTTTATCGCGTACACGTGTTAATCGCGTTATCGAGGTCACCTGTGTGCTGGATGTGTCACAGACAATCGGAAATTGCTCGTCTAATTTCACATTTTTGACGTAACACTTTTGGGGGAAAAGCGTTTTACTTTGAGAAGGAATTTATATGTTTAGAACACGCGATCGTATTTAAGGATAAATTTTTTTAGAAGAGGAGATTGAAACGTACGGTAATTATCGGTGTGATAAAGTTATGATATAATTTTGATGACACACGATCATTGAAATCGACCCAATTCGCTATAATGGTTCTTACATTATTTTATCGAAGTTGTGTTATATTATACACGAACACAGTGAAAAGTGAAAAAAAATACCAAGTTGAGATAATGTTTTTACGTGATATTCTATTTTGAAATAGTTCATACGCGCGAGATAATATCACGAATCTTATTTTTTTTTTTTTTTTTTTTTTTGTTATCGATATTCAAAGTCACGGAATATAAATCTTTAAAACAACAGGAAACGAGTATCGATAAATGTGGAATCAATTTTTTCCAGTAAGGAAAAATTAACGGGGGAGGGGGGGGAAGGAAAAAAAAGAATAATCTGATAAAAAATAACGATAATGAAATTAAATCTCGTTTGAAAAGTCACGATGCGACGAAAAGTGTGAGTCACGCGGTGAAAAAAAACTTTCGAATAATTTTGAATCATTTTCTCTCTCTCTCTCTCTCTTCTTTTTTCGCGCAAAAAATATAGAAATTTACTTTTTAAAAAATCGAAAAAGTAAAATCGAACCGACTCGATTTCCCGATCAAACGATCTTGGAGAAAGAAAAATGGAAATATCTTCTTATAATAATCTTACTCTTCGTAATTCCCGAAGAATTGAACGCACATCATGAGATTGTTCAGTATGAACAACTCTGGATTCCTTCTGATAGTTTGCTTCAACACGGTTAATTGCGGATCATTCGCGAATTCCTCGATCTGATCGGATAATTTGCCTTCGAACCGAGCACTGTTCCCACTCTTCCTGCCCGTTTTCCCCGCACGCTTCATCTTCGATTTCGAATTTCCCATCTCTTCTTCGCTGCGCTCGCAAGAGTCAAGTCAGTGGTGATGTTCGATTT